GTTCGCCAAGGAGATTAGTCTGGCATTTACCTAAACATTCAAGCATTTGAAGATGTCAAGGAAGTTCGCTTTGTCAACGAAACACATTGGTTTTTAACTTCATTACGACAAAGATCTGACGTTATTAAAATAATATTTTAATTAGTTTTTATTGTTTGAAAATGTAAATAAAGTTTTACTCTTTAGCTGAAGATTAATTTGATAAGATATGTTTGGGCGAAAAATATATGAACTTTTTTGAAAAAACCAAATTACTTGGTCTCCTAGTACAACAGATCAAGCTCTATGAACTTTAGGGTTTACTAGAGAGCCTTGAGAGTATATGAGACATAGATTTTAGTTTCCAGTCTCTGTCAGCCAAATTTTCAGTGGTGGTACGTACAATGAAAATGATTGGTAATAACTTCGTCACTAAAATACGTTGACGCTGTGAATGACTGGTAAGAGATACCAGTATCAAATTATGCTCAAATTCTATGTTTTAAAGCATGAACCAGTAGATTATATTACCGAAGAACAAATACAGAGTTTTTAAATCAACCAGTCCAAGAATTATCTTCCTTAAATTTGAAAAATTTTTTTCATAGTTAAAAACAAATTACATATAAGTTCTGTTGGATATGTTAATGAATTAACTTTCAATTCTATTAAACAAACGGGTTTCGTATAGAAAATTTGTTGGTAATAAATGCTTGTAGACAATTAACACACTCTAAATTTCGTGTAATTCTTGCCAAAATATAGTCAGCAACATTATACGAAGAATTTTGTCAATTTTGTGTCACAATACAAAATGCTTGGTTTCAGCCCTTAGAAAGAGAAACTGTCGAGACTGCATTACTTGAAGCTGGTAAATCTCTTATTCCTAATAAATTTTGATCATTTGATACTGTGTAACTTCCTCTACTGTAGGTACTTTTGAAACATTGAATTACACATAAATTTTTAAAAAGTGACCTAAACTGAAGTGCATTTGGTATTTCTTGTCTAAGTTTTATTTGACTAAAAATGGTTTCTAACGCATCTTGTGGAAATATTGACGTACACAAAAATTGATAAAATCTAACATTTAAAAAGTAATCCTGAAGATCTAAAATAGTTTTCGTTGGCAAAATTGAAGCTGTTTGTACTGGTTTCCAATAGACCCCCTTCCCAATATTGATATTTTTAAATAAAACAATAATTTCTTGCAAAAATTTCAAACTGTTTTTGTATTCAGGTAAATTAGATTTGATAATAGTCGAAATGTCACATCGGGACGACATGATACGCACCAATTTATTTAAAATTTTGATAAACCAAGCAGTAGTATAAGCATCACGATTAACAATAGCTACGTTTGTGTTACATAAAAATTCGAGCCCCGCACTTACATCAAAATTTATTAAATTACATGCCAAACAAACTTTCATTTTGTTAAAATGTTTCAGATTGTACAAATCACTACTTAATCTTGGTGCTCATATTAATTCCAAATTTTCTTGAAATTCCGCACGTCCTCAATGTATTTAAAGCTCATTGCTTGGTAATGCATATTTATTAACAAACTCGTCCGGAATTATCATTATTTTGTTATTTACCAATGCAGACCTAATATTTTTGTAAATGTGAAAAGGATCTGCCATGAAATATATATTTTTTGATTCATTTGGTGGATTAGAAATTAAATTTTGAAGAACGATTTTTCTAGATTTACTCCCAAAGTATTTCTACATCGCCTGATTTAGATTCGTTTTTGTGGTTAAAATTATTCATTCTTTAATGTGATCTTCCAAATGACTGTCCACTTGTGGAATTTCTTGTAAAGTGATACGAAATTACTTATTGTTTCTACCGCCGCAATATTCCACCTATCATGATAATTAAAGAATGAGTGGTTATCACTGAAAAGTCTTCCAGGGTTTCATATCCTAGTATGGTAGAGGTAGCTGTGCCGTATTGCTTTCCAGACGTTAAAACCGTCTCATCTAAATATAAACAACAGTCTTTTTCATAGTCTTTAATTTTAAATTTAAATAATAAAAAATTTCGTGTAATATACCTGAGTAGATTTGATATGCTCTATTTTCCGACGTAATGTACGCAAAGATGGCAATAAATAGTTTAATTTTAATAAAGATTCATAGCCTGTAGAACCACAAGAAAATTTAATGGACAGTGCTTTTTCTACAGTCTCGAGGCTCCATCTCCTTCATTTTTTTGATTTAAGTGCATTTGTACTTACTTCTTTGTTCACTCCAAATTGACCTGCAATCACCAGTTTATCATTAATTTTTAATTTTTTAAAATTCAAACTGTTAATTTTTTCTTTTAAACAACAAATTTCGTCTTCTTTTTGCTGCAACAAATTTTGGTAGTACTTTCCTAAACATTCTTTTTCGTGGTTATTAAATTTTGAATTTTGATGTTTTGTTCATTAATTGTTTGTTCCGGATTAACAATTTTAAATGGTGCCTTTACCTTTAAAATCTTGAACATGAAAATATTTAGGTAAAACCCTTTCTTTTAACTTGAAGTTAAGTTCGTCGACGAAATCTTCTTGATCAAAGTGCACCTTAAAATATAATTTTAAAAATACCGAGGAAGGGGTTTTACAAAAATAAGTACATCACAAGTTTTGAAAGCAGAACCAATGTTCTTTTTTTTGGAAGCCCCAAACTTTTCTTCCAAAGTGCAATTGTCTTTTTACATGAAGGAAAATGATATAAACGATATCCATCGTTTGTGCTGTTATTACTTTAATTAAACTGCAGTGCATTTTCAGAAAATATTTTCAACGTTTGACTTTTTACTTCAAAAAATGACAAATTATAAAAAATCACAGTCAAGTGGATTGCTGCCATTTTTTTAGGAAACTGGAAAACCCTTTGAGACGAACGTTCATGATAAATTTGACAACGATTTTGGCATACACGTGTTTCTGACAACGGGTCATATAACCTAAAATATTTTAAAGTTGAAACTGTCATTTCGTGTCCACATCACGGGTCCACACTCTTAAAAAAGACATATTCTGTCAAGGCACTCTATGTAAACAGTTATATTTAAACAAAGTTACAATACATTAGTGAAACTTAGTATTGTTTAATCAAAAAATAAAAATTAGAGCTTTTGTGGGAAATACACTGCGTTTCAAATAAAATGCACCATCTAGAAGGAGTAGGCGTAGAATGTTGAAATTTAGTGGAAAAGACTGTTGCATATAGACAAACATTTGATTAAAATTTGAATTAAAAACTACAACTTGTTTAGAAAATATACCGGGTGTTATTCGATTTTTATTAATTTTTTGATTATATTTTAAAGACACTTGAGTAAGATTCTTTTGCAATTTGACTTCACATTTGCCATGATTGTGCTTGCAAAAATGCTACGAGTTCGCACACGAGATAATTTTCAACAGATAACACCCATTGAAAGAGGGCGAATTATTGGGTTGCATGAGGCTGGTTTACCATTTCGGGAAATCACCAGCAAACTAGGCCCGACCATTTCAGAGTCACCCAAGAACGCGAAGATCACTTGCTAAGAAGAAGTGTTATTCAATACCCTTGGTAACCATAACGATCAGTCGGGATGGACTGGATGACAGCAATTGGGCACAGAATCCGAGGAGTACCATGTACCGCCAAATTCGTTCGTTTGGCTTGAGATCTTATGGTCCAAACTGTAAACTTCCCTTACCACAATAACACAAAACTACCAGGCTTCACTGGTACCAAGACAGGCAGCAATGGCTGTAATAGTGGAATGTCATAATGTTTAGAAACGAGTCTAAGTTTTGTTTGTGGTACTCTGATGGACGCCTACGTGTTCGAAGGCCTCGAGGCCAAACGTAAAATCTGGAATTTGTACAGAGACGTCATACCGCTCTAACACCTGGAGTAATGATATGGGGTGGTATACACATCTGTTGAAGTACCCCCTTAGTGTTCATTCCAGGCACGCTAAATGCCCGGCGTTGCATCGATAACGTGTTAAATCAAATTCTTTTTCCTTACCTCTAGAACCGTCGAAGAACATCTTTTCAACTAGATAATGCGTGGCCTCATGTGACCATATTAACTTAAAGAGTGTTTGAAGAAAATAATGTCATCATCTTACCTTGGCCTGCCCGATTACCAGATTTATCAACAATCGAAAATGTATAGGATTTAATGCATAGAAGCCTGCGCAATTTACCACATCCTCCAAAGACTTTGGAAGAATTGCTACAACAAATTCAAAATGCCTGGAATGAGATACCCCGACAGGCAATAGATCATCTCATTTTAAGCATGCCTAGAAGAATACAGTCTTGTATTCGCGCACGTGGAATTTTATCACATTATTAACATTTCTTGTGTTAGACATTTTATTTTTTCTTTGAAATTTTAATCAAATGTTTGTCTATATGCTATAGTCTTCTCCACCAAATTTCAACATTCTACGCCTACTCCTTCTAGGTGGTGCATTTTATTTGAAACGCAGTGTATGTACCGTTGAATTCGAACAATACCTCACGTAGAGGAATGGTCCTTTCTGTTTGAAAGAGAAACATGCACACCCAAAGATCTTTAATAACATTTGTAATAGAAGGCAAGTCAGTACGGTCACAAAATAAATGTAGTTTAATTAGTTCAAATTGCTTTATGTACATGGATTAGAAAAGAAAAGGTCATTTGCTCGTGATTTTCTAGCCTAAAATATGTATTATGGTCTTAAAATTAAACAAAATTGTCAACTTTAAAAACAATATTTTTGATGGTAAAAATAATAAAATTCTGTTTTGTTATTTTGTTGCATTAAACAGTTAAGTTTATGAGATCCATCAATTGTTTAAATTAACGGTATATGAAATTGAATTTTCCGCAAATTTATTTGATATTATCTTTTTTTTTTAATTAAAATAAATTCTCTAACAAAATGGGACCGATGTGATTCCAGTAGTTCATTTAACAATGTTAGATTGAAATCGAAAGTCAACTTTTACTTTATTAAAACTTCCGTCGATGCATAAGTCAGTCCATCTTTCCCGAAATCGACTCTATCTCTAAAGAGTTTGTCCATTTCGTCTCATATTCGCCACATGTTGCTCTCATCACTTTCTCCGAACTGAAACGACAGCAATATCAGCAATGACACAAGTGGATATCGAAAAAGATCAAAAACTGAGCACATAAATCTTTCCAATTCACTTTAAATTAACTACAGCCCCAAAAATAGAGGGCCTCCGCAGCGACTCCGCGACATGTTCAATCGCTTTAAATAAATTATCCGTTCTACTCAAGCGTTAAATAAATTCATCGATCGCTCATTTTCGTTGTAACACGGGGTTACCTCTTGCTCACGTCCAACTACATCCTAAACACAAACAGTAGCGGAGAACTTTTCCTTTGGCGCGTATAAACTGTACAAGGACCTCTCATAATGAAAATGCGCTAAATTCCATTTGGTATTTTCACCTGAAAGTGCCGAAAACGGCAACGAACGAGCAAAGCAGGATCGATATTTGCGGCTTCATTTTACAGCACATACTTGTTGAGTCTTTGGAAGCCTCCAAATTGCCTCTTGTAACCTCCTCCTGACATCGTCCTATCGAGTCGATATCTATGTCACTCATGGGCCTTCCGTTAACTTCCAGCGGCGATATGCAATAATTCTTCGATATGAATTCTAGTAAACTACCGTTCGCTAAAGGTCCCTCTAACAAGGTGTGTATGTGACAATCACAAGGAAAATGATTCGATATCACAGTCAGCTTATCAGCACCGATGTTGAGAGTCTCTGCTCGCGGAATCTCCAGGATGTGGTTGCCTTGCAGCTTCAAGAAACCGATTCGTTGCTCCTGCGTCAAATTTAATTCTTGAATGCCTAAACAGGGAAAGAAAATTGTCACTTTGGTTTACACATCTAAATTTTGATGGTTAGGGACTTGGCTTACGAGAAACGACTGCATGCCTGTTTATAACTCAATTTGAAAGGAGCTGTGAGTTGCGTTTTTCTCGAAATACAAGACTGAAAATATTTACATTGTCCTAATAGTTTCAGTTATCTACATAAATGAAATTTCTAGCAAACTGGGACAATTTAAAACTGCAACTTACTTATTTTATGCACAGTTATCTACTTATAAGATTAACTACAATGTGTAGACTATAGACGTAGCATTTTATGTTTTTAAATTTTAAGATGACGATATGAACCATGTTGAATAGCAAATAGGAAGAGGGTCAAATATTCCTTCAACTGAAAGCTGAAGCTTCTGATAGCACACGTTTTTTAATTTTGGCTTCCGTAAATACCACTATTTTAGGCAGCAAGAAACAGCTGTGGAGTAAAGAAAATGGGATATGATAATCGAGAGAACAGCATGGTAGGACGGAATATTTAACAACAAAGAAGAAAAACAAAAGTAACGGATAAAATAGAATACTTAAAAATAGTGAACAAACAACATCGGTAGATTTTGAAAATAAAATCTCCGCGAAACTTAAAAGATACTCTACAGAGCATTAAAATGAATAGAAAACCTGAAACTAATCTGCTGAAAAATGTAAAAGACAATGTGAGATAATAGTTTACAAAAGAAGAAAATATTATGACAAGAGCTTTTTGAAGAATTATAAGAAGATAATATGGGTGAAGAAATTACAAGGGGAGAACAAGCAGTTTATAAAATTGGAAAATGCCCCTGAAACAGACGAAATTTGTGTTTAAATGAATAAGGACAAAAAGAATTGTTACAAACAGTAAACCTAATAAAAAAAAGAGAAAAAGACTCCAAAGAACTGAAGAACAGAAACAATTATCACTGTTTAAGAAAGACGAAAATAGAAAAGGGTACAATATCTACACAGGTAGAAATATCAAGAAAAAGCAGCTGTGGTTACTCGAGAATTTAACAAGTTAAGAAAAGATGAATTAATTAACATGTTAGTGACACAAAAAGTGCCCAAGGGTGTAACGAATGAAGCCGCCAAAATAATAGGACATACCAGAAAAAATGACGAAGAGTTTCTCGACTTCAAGGACATACTGACTTGCCAAAAACGCACTTGAATGAAGACCCAAGGTGAGCTCGAATTAACTAAGAAACTAGTTTATCACTTCGAGAAAGAACTCAGGAACAGGAAGAGCTGATTCTGTTCTTGAAGGAAAATAAACAAACAACACAACAGAATATCAACAGAAACTCATCTACTAGCAAAGAAACAAAGAATATCAGCACTAAACAAAAACCTGAGACTGATAAAAGTAAACCTGAATGGAAAAACATTCATAATCATAACAACAAAATAAAAGGTGGGAATTCCGAAAATCCAAGATTTAATGATAATAAACAAAATAAAACACCTGTAGAATATAACATCCTATTAATAAGTACATGCTGGAGTTCTCATTGGCAATGGCGAAAATGCCATTATCACGTTCGAAACAGTGCCGAAATTTGCATTCTTGTATGTACCCTGCGGATCAAATATGATTTGCAAAAATCTGCTGGTAGTTCTACACGAATCTTTTCAAGAATTCAAGATATTAAATTTTGCTGTGAGGTATGGAATAAAAGCCAGTACAGCACATCCTTCAAAGTAGCTGTTCCTCTCGAAAGTTATCAATGGGTCATGAACCTCGAGGTATGGACCCACAGGCAGTACGAAAATTTGACTTAAAAATATTGGTGATATCATAATTGACCCACCTACACACTCGACAAACATAATTTTCAGTTCCGGAGTGTTTCCAGACAACTACAAATTAAGTAGAGTGCTACCTGTTTTTAAAAAGAAAGACCCAGATATTAAAGATAACTATCGTCCAATGTCTATCGTGCCCTTGTTTGGTAAAGTTACCGGAATCTTATTAAAAAATCATTTGATTACTTTTTTGAAATTTTTGTTTTGTTTCATAAATCGCAATTTGGATTTCAAAGTAATCTGTCTACGATAGATGCCGTCTATGGGGTAGTGAGAAACACAGTCAACGGACTTGAAAATACTGAATTTACAACCATTACGCTATTGGACTTTGGTAAAGTGTTTGACTGTTTCTCACTCACTGTTGTTAAATAAACTTGAACTTATGGGGCAAGTGGAATATCATTAAACGTCTTCAAGGCGTATTTAAATCTAAGAAAACATTACATCACTATAAATCACACGATTTTCATAAGTCGTGAAATTAAACGTAGTGTGCCCTAAGGCTCTGTTCTTGGGTCGCTTTTATTTATCATTTAATGTAAACGATATTTTCTACTCCTTTCTCCCTGATGATGTAATTCTGTATGCAGATGATGTTAGTTTTATAAGTAAAAACACAGACCAGAATGAAATCAATCTTAACGTAGACCGAAGACAGAAAAATGGTATCATTATAATTCTTTAAAGGTAAATATAAATAAAACTCAAGAATTAGATTTGTCGTCTACTGTTTCATACATAAATGGTTACCTATGTTGTAGAGTTTTGAGGATTATCTTAGGCGATAATTTAAACTGGAGATTGCACATAAATGAGCTAGGAAAAAAACTATTTTTTCTTGAAACGTCAGAAATACGGGTCATTGCATACCTCAATTGATAAATATAAAGTCCCACTTCACTGCACTTGACAGAAAAAAATTTTTTTTGCTGCCGCTAAATCAACCAATGAAATTTAAGCCTAGCCGTCTTATGCGTTGATGTTGATGTTCTCACTGTTACTAATTTTTTGTGCTGCCAATGTCAATCACACATAACTCTCATATGTCATTTGTCACAATTCAGTCGGTCAGAGTCGAAGAGTCAAATTATAACTGTCACCTAAATTAAGCAATCATCATGCACAATCAAGAATATTCTTATAATAATATGAAAATAATAAATAAGAAAATTTATAATTTGCTGAAATTATTGAAAGTTTTGCTATGATTAACATTTTATAATTAATTGCAGTCATGTTTTTTTTGATCAAGACATTAGAAAATATCGTGAAAAAAAGTGAGGTTATAAGAAGGAACAACATTTAAAATACTGTAAAATGATAGTATTTGTAGAAGTACGTGATGGAATCAAAGGTATTTTGATTGCTAGAACTTGTCCTCTACAGATTTTAAAGGTGGCATATTTAGGTTGTTTTAAATAGCTGGAATTGGAATATTAAACAAAAAGAAAAGCCCTTTCGGTGAGTAAATTTGCCACTGACCTATTTTCACATCAAAGTGAAAAACTATATCGATATTGAAAAAAATCACAAGGTTATAGAGTATAGTGACTCCAATTTTTCTGTCTAGGCTGTTTTCGCATTTTTTCTGCCGGTCATCAGCGGCAGAAAAAGTGAGGGGTAAGTACCTACCTGTTTCGTGATTATGATTTATGATCAAGTGTCTGAATTTTTTAGACCTTAGAATACAAATTGGTTATCCTATTAGTGTTTTAAGAATCAGTTCTAAGTGATTTTTGTCACAATTTCTTAGATTTCAACATTTTCATGTCCAATAAATTGGATCCAGTTTCACGTTTGAAGAAAAAATAGCATGTTTTATACGGAGAAAAATGACTCTTCGTGGCTCATCTGTAATTGCCGGCCTCGCGCGCTCGGCCGTCAGACCTACAGATGGGCTACGAAAAGTCTCATTTTTGCTCCTTATAAAACAATATACTATTCTTCAAATTTTTACATTGAAACTTACGTGGCTACTGTAATATAAGTATTCTGTTGTGTACTTTTCTTGCACTTTTTCAGAGTCATGTAAATTATGGTGTACCTCTGTGTGGTAATTCTGTAAAAGCTAACAAAATATTCGTCTTTTTTCTTTACACAATTTTGCGATGACGTCATCAGCACGTACATCTACTTGTATTGGTGCCGTGTAATACTAAAAATAACAGTATTGCATTCCCAAAATTTTCTGGGACAATGGAGCGAGCCGTTCCTGATTTAATCATGACTCATTCATTAATTTTTTTTTGAGCCACCTGTTTAAGCAAATCTAAAAAATATGAATGCAATGATAAATTACAAGTAAAAACTCATCATATTTTGCACATTTTGGGTAGAATTTATTCGGCAAAATTTTGAGATGGCGTCATAAATTTTTTTGGGGGGAATAAACAGATATATTTTGATTAACAATTTACCGTGCTTACACTAATTTTAAAACGTCTATAAGATTTCAAACTATTCAATTTTGCAATTCTTGATTTATTCAATAAAAAAAAATTAACCGATTCATTAATTTTTTTGAGTCCCGCCTATAAGCAAATCCAAAAAATATGAATGGAATGATAAATCACTTCGTCATTTTAGAAAATCATTGCACTTTTGTAAAATTTTTGAAGAAACTCTTTTCATCAAATATGTTCGCGGTATACCTACTATTCAAAAATCTTCTTTAAACTAACTTCCCTCAAATACAATAAATGCAATTTAAATATTTACTATCAGAACGTTAGGGGGTCTTCCTCTAGCCTCGCCCACCGGCTCTTTATTTTTTTCAGAAAGTATGTCATTTGACAACATCAGTTTTATCTTAGCAAGTACTAACTTTACCCACCCACGCTTTATGCTTTATTTTCTTAGAGAGTAGGTCCTTTGCCAAAATCAGTCTAATCATGGCAAGTATTAGCCCCGCCCACCCGCCCTTTATTTTCTTAGAGAGTATGTCCATTGCCAAATTCAGTCGTATCATGGCAGTGTACTAGCCCCACCCACCCACTCTTCATGTTCTTAAAGAGTAGGTCCTTCTCCAAAATTAGTTTTATATCGACGAGTACTAGCCAACTGTACTTACTTAATAATACTTTTGTATGTTTGTGGTGACTTATTAAAAAAAAACACGTTGCCCCACCTTACATAAATAGGGATTGTGTTAAAGCTTAACGATGAGACCCTCAA